GAAACTTTGTACATAGATGTCATAGGACACTGCACAGACCTGATAGTTTTTAGGGTAATATCGGTGCATATTAATTACCTAATTTGCATAATTAATTAATTTCAAGCTTTTGATGTTTCAAATAGTAAGCGTTACATTTCAATGAAACTTGGTACATAGATACTCAAGGACTATGCAGAGATTAATTTTTTTGGGATAAATATTTGTACATATTAATCTGCATAATTAGTTAATTTTCAGCTTTTTCACAGATATCTCAAGTACTAATCATTACGTTTTAATGAAACTTGGTACATAGATCTTTTAGGACTATCCAAAGACCTGATTAGTTTTAGGGTAAATAATTGGGCATATTAATTACCTAATTTGCATAATTAATTAATTTTCAGCTTTCACACTGATTTCTCAAGTACTAATCAACACATTTCAACAAAACTTTGTACATGGATGCTGTAGGACAATGTACAAACCTGATTAGTTTGGGTTAAAATCATATTAATTACTAATTTGCATAATTAACCACTTTTAAGCTATCACACTGATATCTAAAGTACTAATTATTTCATTTCAATGAAACTTGGTGCAAAGATGCTCTAGGACAATGTACAAACCGGATTAGTTTGGGGTTAAAATTCATTTATTTTAATTCCCTAATTAGCATAATAATTCATAATTTTTTTTGGTTCCAATCACATTTCAATAAAACTTGGTATATAGATGGTCTGTTACATTGTGCAGACCTCATTAGTTTTACACTCAAATCTGTTCATATTAATTTTCTGATTTGCATTATTAGTTTTCAGCTTTTCCATCACTATCTCAATCAAGTACAAGTAATTTTGAATTATATTTAATGTGTCTTCAATACTCTCAGCACATGGGAGTTCTTTCTAAGCTTTCTTTGATTTATCTATTGTTCTGAAATAAATTTTTTAAAAGTATATGCATGAGCGCGTGTGTGAATTCTGGAAAACATGGTGACCCCCCCCCCCCCCATTCATGATATCAAAAACAGGGTGACCCCCCTTATTCGCACAATCAAAAACAAGGTAACACCCCCCCCCCCCACTGATCCACCGACCCCTCCTAGGCCGAAGTAACTGACCAATTCCTAACTCGTTACAATCATAGTTTTGTTTAGTTTATTTTTAGCTCCGCTGTCGACTTTGTCGAGCGGAGCTTATCATATGAGTGATTGTCCGTCGGCGTTCGTCGTCCGTGTCAATGTTTTACTTTTTCGACTTCTTCTTGAAAACTACAAGCCTGAATGCTTTGATACTTGGTGTATATGTACCTTGGGTAGACCTCTCTCAGATTTGTTCATTTCATGATCATATTTTCAATTCTCTAATTTTGGTGAATATTTTTGTCATTTTTAGTAAAAAGTGATATTTTCAACTTCTTGTTAAAAACCGCAAGTCCAATTGCTTTGATATTACATATATAAGTACTACATGTGGACCTCTCTCAGATTTGTTCATTTTGTAATGATATCGTCAATTCTCTAATTTTGGTGAATATTTTTGGTAAAAAGTGATATTTTCGACTTCTTGTTAAAAACCACAAGTCCAATTGCTTTGATATTACATATATAAGTACTACATGTGGACCTCTCTCAGATTTGTTCATTTTGTAATGATATCGTCAATTCTCTAATTTTGGTGAATATTTTTGTCATTTTTGGTAAAAAGTGATATTTTCGACTTCTTGTTAAAAACCACAAGTCCAATTGCTTTGATATTACATACATGTATATAGGTACTACATGTGGATCTCTCTCAGATTTGTTCATTTTGTAATGATATCTTTAGTTCTCTAATTTTAATGAATATTTTTGTCATTTTTAGTAAAAAGTGATATTTTCAACTTCTTGTTAAAAACTGCAAGTCCAATTGCTTTGATATTACATATATAGGTACTACATGTGGACCTCTCTCAGATTTATTCATTTTGTAATGATATCTTTAATTCTCTAATTTTGGTGAATATTTTTGTCATTTTTGGTAAAAAGTGATATTTTCTTCTTGTTAAAAACCACAATCATTGATGGTGAAAAATGATATTTTTGAATTCTTGTTGAAAACAGCAAGTCCCATTGCATTGATACTATGCATATTGTTCATTTTCTAATGACATCTTCTGTTCTTTAATTGAAATGTGCATTGCTAACAGCGGAGCTATCTCAGCCGAGAGGCTGCTTGTTATCGACTTGCAGTACGATTGTTATACAATTATTACCAGCACCAAATAGTTTTCATTTCCAAGAGCTATGAATGTATGTGTAACTGGTTTGTCTACGAACCACTGACGCGTCACTCAAATTCATTTGAAAGTCAGTCTGCCGTCCCACATGACACAATGGACCTGATTAGTCTACTTTTGTCTACTACGTATTCTTACCCAATCCATGTGCATGTGTTCGAAAGGCCGCATGTGCACCAGAGACTAAAGTGAGATCCCCAACAAGATTCTTCATAGATATATATTTTTCCCTTTTTACACCGAGAACATTTCAGTGGTCAGCCAGATTTGTAATCAATATATCCAGGTCGACGAGCCTCGTGTTATTCGCACACCGCAAGCATTGCCAGATACTGCAGACATCCTGTGTGTTGATGTCGTGTCATTCAGCCTCCAGTGACAGTAAAGTGGTGTCAGCATTCGAGTGGTTACGGTGGTGTCTTCAGTCTCCGGTGTAGTGAAGCAGATGTCACTTAGGTTTTCATTCAACTTGTCTGTGGTTTCGTCCGACTTTGTTTCGTAGAGCGGCTATGTTTCATAGTAAAAAATACGCTTTCTGCTATTCATAAACTTGCAGGTTTTGTTTGTCATTGAAACGCTTTTTTTCCGATGTTTTTTCCGTGCCATTTTTACCTTGCCCGTACCATCAAAGATGGAAGGGAAAGGTATATTAAGGGAAAAATTTTGTCCAGCGTTGTCGTCGTCGTCGTTGTTGTTGTTGTTGTCGTCATCGTCGTTAATAATTGTTATTGTTTATCAAACTTGGTCACCTTATTCATCAGTATAAAGTCTTCCCTGAGTTTGAACAACAGATGTCCTATATGAAAATATCATGCAAAAATTGAGAAAATCTGATAAAATATTTTGACTGTTTCTACTTGACTG